GTGTTTATTCATTTCAGCACTAGTTATTATGTTTCTTAGTTTTTCACTAAAAGAGTAAATATTGGAGTGAAGAACTCTATAAAATGCACCGACTGTTAGAGGTTTTGTAAGGTCTTTGGATTTAAATTTAGAAGAAGGTATATTCACCATGCTCGTCCCTTGTGCAAGTAGAATTTATACACTCTGGTTCTACCTCCTAACTGATCTGGCCTACAATTGTGTATGGCTGTGTAGCCAGGTATGGAATAGATGTTTGTAACATCATGTTTTAGCCATGTTTCAGTTAGTGTAATGATAAACATACTGACATTTAGAGAATTCAGTAGTGCCTGGAGGTCATCATAGTGCTTGCTTAGTGATCTGACATTATAACTGAATACTGTTATGTTATTTCGTATTTCGACTTTATGATGGTGCGATAGCAATGTACATTCAGTAATCAAACTTCAAATTTTGATCTGTTCATGGGCTAGCAATATGCTTTCAGCTGACTATATTAATGGCGAGTACCTGTACCACATATCACTACATATACTGTAACCATATCATCCCTGGGTAATTAAGTCAATGTACGTACCATAATTTTTTTTTTAGTATACCTGGAGTTTACCTGGAGAGAGTTTCGGGGGTCAACGCCCCCGCGGCCCGGTCTGTGACCAGGCCTCCTGGTGGATCAGCGCCTGATCAACCAGGCTGTTGCTGCTGGCTGCACGCAAACCAACGTACGAGCCACAGCCCGGCTGATCAGGAACTGACTTTAGGTGCTTGTCCAGTGCCAGCTTGAAGACTGCCAGGGGTCTGTTGGTAATCCCCCTTATGTGTGCTGGGAGGCAGTTGAACAGTCTCGGGCCCCTGACACTTATTGTATGGTCTCTTAACGTGCTAGTGACACCCCTGCTTTTCATTGGGGGGATGGTGCATCGTCTGCCAAGTCTTTTGCTTTCGTAGTGAGTGATTTTCGTGTGCAAGTTCGGTACTAGTCCCTCTAGGATTTTCCAGGTGTATATAATCATGTATCTCTCCCTCCTGCATTCCAGGGAATACAGGTTTAGAAACCTCAAGCGCTCCCAGTAATTGAGGTGTTTTATATCCGTTATGCGGGCCGTGAAAGTTCTCTGTACATTTTCTAGGTCGGCAATTTCACCTGCCTTGAAAGGTGCTGTTAGAGTGCAGCAATATTCCAGCCTAGATAGAACAAGTGACCTGAAGAGTGTCATCATGGGCTTGGCCTCCCTAGTTTTGAAGGTTCTCATTATCCATCCTGTCATTTTTCTAGCAGATGCGATTGATACAATGTTATGGTCCTTGAAGGTGAGATCCTCCGACATAATCACTCCCAGGTCTTTGACGTTGGTGTTTCGCTCTATTTCGTGGCCAGAATTTGTTTTGTACTCTGATGAAGATTTAATTTCCTAATGTTTACCATATCTGAGTAATTGAAATTTCTCATCGTTGAACTTCATATTGTTTTCTGCAGCCCACTGAAAGATTTGGTTGATGTCCGCCTGGAGCCTTGCAGTGTCTGCAATGGAAGACACTGTCATGCAGATTCGGGTGTCATCTGCAAAGGAAGACACGGTGCTGTGGCTGACATCCTTGTCTATGTCGGATATGAGGATGAGGAACAAGATGGGAGCTAGTACTGTGCCTTGTGGAACAGAGCTTTTCACCGTAGCTGCCTCGGACTTGACTCTGTTGACGACTACTCTCTGTGTTCTGTTAGTGAGGAAATTATAGATCCATCGACCGACTTTTCCTGTTATTCCTTTAGCGCGCATTTTGTGCGCTATTACGCCATGGTCACACTTGTCGAAGGCTTTTGCAAAGTCTGTATATATTACATCTGCATTCTTTTTGTCTTCTAGTGCATTTAGGACCTTGTCGTAGTGATCCAGTAGTTGAGACAGACAGGAGCGACCTGTTCTAAACCCATGTTGCCCTGGGTTGTGTAACTGATGGGTTTCTAGATGGGTGGTGATCTTGCTTCTTAGGACCCTTTCAAAGATTTTTATGATATGGGATGTTAGTGCTATTGGTCTGTAGTTCTTTGCTGTTGCTTTACTGCCCCCTTTGTACAATACTGCACATTTATTGATAGGATAAACTTGTATATTTTAATTTACTTTTCAATACTGGTATTTAGTTAACTACAGTAATAATTTGCTTATTTACTTATTCAGTGATAGCATTTATTTATTTATCATATCACATTCATATTCAGCTTATATTTTCAACTGACAATGGGTTCATCAGAACGAAACCCCATTGAAAGTTGAGGAGCGCCTGGTCTTCCTATGGTATTATGTTATCTCAGAGCAGTAAAACTATATCTGTTGTTCATGATGCTGTATCATGCCAGCAAGATATGAGTGAAGAACTTTTTACAAGGCATGCTAACAAGATACAAGTGAAGAACTTGTCACAAGGCCAGTAAGCATTAATATGCAGTTCAACATCTAGTACAACCATGGCTGGGCCATCTGATGAAAAGCCCAAAAAGAAAAAAATTGTTTAAAAAAAAAAAAGATGGACTTGTGAAACTGGAGAAAGGAGAAAGCACTAATTGGTTATGACTGAATACAATGTGTCAAAAACCATCACCAGTAAACATGATCTGGTCAAAAAAATTTTTTTTTTTATTCAAAATGACTGAAAGAAAAAATGTTAGATCTTATGAAAGCCTAAAAATTAAGAACTAGACTATGTGATACAGCAATAGTTTTTCCAAATGAGATAAATGTGATAAACATATTTCTCTGAATAAAGCAATGGCTGATATAGAAATTACTGAGCAAGTCAGAAATGAAAATGCTAAATTTTGAAACTGAAAAACATGATACAAGTGATATCACACAAGTAAGAAAAATAATAACTTTTAATGAAAAGAAATCACATAAAACTAATCAACAAGAAATGCAAGTGGCTAGACTTTACTGATCAGTTCATTTGGTGGAGATTTTGCTGTACAAAGTAGCCCTTTGTGTTAGTGTGAAGAAGGCACTACAGTATCTGCATTTACCACAGTGCCTCTAACAGATCTTGAATTATGGATATGGAATCAGAAGAGAAAGAGAGGGAACACCTGTACTCCTATGACTGAAGTTTCAACATGTACCCCAGCTCCCGGCATATCAATATTATACCAGCAGTTACAAATGTGTTATTGTGAATTTTCCAAGTTATAAATTGGTACTCTAAGTATGTATTCTATTTACCTACAAGAGGAGAATGAATTAATTGTTTGGAGATTATAAATTTAATTTTAATTTTAACACACAGCTGTATTCTCACTGAGGTAGGGTGACCTAAAAAAGAAACACTTTCACCATTAATAACCAAACAAAAAGCTGCTGTGCAGACTGTCACACATTCCTGTGTCAGACAACACCCATCCCTCCACTCTTCAAGAGCTTGAACTTATTTAATATACAAAATATACTCTCATATTACTGGGCCTATTTTTTTTTTAACACATTGGCCATCTCCCACCGAGGCAGGTGACCCAAAAAAGAAGGATACTTTTACCATCATTCAGCACTTTCACCATCATTCACACATACTCACTGTCTTTGCAGAGGCGCCCAAATACAACAGCTCATCAGATCTCAAAAACCATTTCTCTCCATTCATGCCTATTCAACACATTCACAAATGCCTGCTACATGTCCAAGCCCCTTGCACACAAAACCACTTTTATTCCCTCCTTCCATCCTTTCCTAGGATGGCCCCTACCCCTCCACTGCAGATTTATACACTCTCTAAGTCATCCTATTTTGCTCTATCCTCTCTAAATGACCAAACCACCTCAACAACCCCTCTATAGCCCTCTGAATACTTCTAGTAACTTGACACCTCCTCATAATTTCCACACTACAAATTCTCTGCATAATATTTACACCACACATTGACCTTAGACACGGCATCTCCACTGCCTCCAGCCTCCTCCTCGCTGCAGCATTTACAACCTATGCTTCACACTCATATAAGAGTGTTGGTACCACTATACTCTCATAAATTCCCTTCTTTGCCTCCATGGATAACAATTTTTGTCTCCACAGACACCTCAATGCACTAGTCACCTTTTTTCCTTTATCAATTTTGTGGTTAACCTCGTCCTTCACAAACCTATCCGCTGACAAGTCTACTCCCAAATATCTGAACACATTCACTTCTTCCATACTCCCTCCCTTCAATGTGATATTAAATTTTTTTTTTTCAACGAGTCGGCCGTCTCCCAGCGAGGCAGGGTGACCCAAAAAGAAAATACTTTCAACATCATTCAACACTTTCACCTCACTCACACATAATCACTGTTTTTGCAGAGGTGCCCAGAATACAACAGTTTAGAAGTATATATGTATAAAAAATACACAATATATCCCTCCAAACTGCCAATATCCCAAACCCCTCCTGTAGAGTGCAAGCATTGTACTTCCCATTTCCAGGGCTCAAGTCAGGTTATATGAAATAACCGGTTTCCCTGAATCCCTTCACTAAATATTACCCTGCTCACTTTTTTTTTCAACACATCAGCCATCTCCCACTGAGGCAGGGTGACCCAAAAATGAAGGAAACACTTTCACCATCATTCACACATAATCACTGTCTTTGCAGAGGCACTCAGATACAACAGTTTAAAATGTCCCTCCAAACAGCCAATATCTCAAACCTCTCCTTTAAAATGCAAGTGTTGTACTTCCCACCTCCAGGACTCAAGTCTGGGTAACTGGTTTCCCTGAATCCCTGAATAGAAAATGCATCACAATACAGAACCAGGAACAATTCACTATTAACACAGTTTGCAGAGGAAACTTTAGACAATCTTGTCAGTCTGTCCCAGACTGTTATTAAGTAATAACTTGATAATGGTCCAGGATGGACAAAAAATGTCATCTTAGGTTTCCCATCCAAATTGTGGGTTAATACTGTATATTTAGTAGTTACAATATAATTTGGGTCGAATTACTAGAATTTACAGTTTTATTCGATTCTAATCTTACCTTTTAACTTCATCTGCAGACTGAGCAATAAAAAATCCTTGTGTATTTGGTTGAATTTTTGTTGCTTTTGGATTGATTGCAATCTTGCTATCTGTTCCCTCTTCATTTTTAACTTCAATTGCCAGCAAAAGAAGTTTCAGCTTTGAAAAACAAAGTCTGTGGAGTAAATGTTATTAGATACTAATGAAATCTATGATAAGCTAATGGTACTTTAATAATGTACATTTAAGCTCTATTTTATGCACATACCATACAAAATTGCATACAGATATGTACTATGTAGAGAAAGCTGCTATTTGAGCTGTTGTGTGAAATAACTGCAGCTGGATAAATCAACTAAATATTATTCAACAACAGAAAATGAGAAACCATATGGAGCAAAATAGTGTTCCCCATATCTGTGGGTGATACATTTCAAGCCCTACCATGGATGTTCAAAACCACGGAGAGTTGCGAACCCTATAAACAAGTCATTTTTCACTTACATACATACCTATCAAAGTTTAATTGATAAATAATGCACAATAAAACATTACCACATTAAATAATAATGAAATATACTGTGCATCATCCTCATCCTCTCTCTCATGAATGGGATTCTGATGTTTTAGCTTAACCCTCATGGGACAATGGATCTATGAAAAATATCTTGTACACACACAATTTAAATATATTTGTAACTTATGAAATGTTTATTGCTGGAATTTTCCATTTAATATTTTCGGGCTGCAGTGAACTACAGATAAATGAAACTGTAGAAACTGAATCTGTGGATACAGGGGTTCAACTGTATAGAACATGAATACAGGAAACTCAAAAAATTTCAGGCTCAATCTGAGACCATCTTCAGCAAGAGGGCCTCTGATTGAGGCTAAAATAGACATGTCTCTTTCTATCCATATTATTTTTTTCAGTTTTCATGACACTGATCCAAGTATTTTCAACAAAATTTCCTAAACTCAAGAATAAAGCTGAAGCACATTTTGTTAACTGAATAAATGTGCCTTTAATTCTTAAATACAGTGGACCCCCGGTTTACGATATTTTTTCATTCCAGAAGTATGTTCAGGTGCCAGTACTGACCGAATTTGTTCCCATAAGGAATATTGTGAATTAGATTAGTCCATTTCAGACCCCCAAACATACACTTACGTAATTGGTCGCATTGGGAGGTGAGCGTAAAGCGGGGGTCCATTGTATATATAATGTTGTGTAATTTAAGTTTTGTGATATTCACAATTATCAATCCGTCTATACAAACAATCACTAAATATACAACTTTACTTTAGTGATACCTTTCATCACTATACATCTGTCTGGATGACTGAAGAAAATATGAGGAAACAAAACCTCCACAAAATACACATTAAGGACTTTGTATAAGTATCCCATCCAACACTGTACAATGATATACATGATTACAAACTGTTAATATATTATCATGCAAATATAAAATATAATTTTTAAAGGTACTTACTAGAATTCTTAAGATGGGTTATCTAATAAGTCTTAAATGAGGACAAATGAAATATTAAATATAAAAAAATGCACAACAAGGTTTGGTAAGTGCAGGAAAGAGAGGGTTGATATGATAGCTATAGTGATTTCCCACCAAGTCCAAGTGCAAAATGCTCAAAAAAGTCCACTGATAGTGTCACATTAATATATGTTAATTTGACATTGAAGTGACTATCTGTCTTCTCACTTGTGAAGATGTATATATACAGTATAGTGCTCATTACAAATTCTCAGGATACATATTCCTAAAGATTTCAATGAATCTATGAATTGAAAATAATGCTAAAATGTTGTCCTATTCTAGTAATTTACCACTATTTGAGAAAAATATTCCCTAGTGTTCATTTATGGCTTTGTATTTTCCTAAAATGTCTTCTACTACCAGGTCTCTCTCTCTTGTAATTACTTACTTGCAACTAAAGGAGCACACTGGCTGTCTCCCACTGAGGAAAGGTGCCCCAAAAAATACTTTCACCATCATTCACACTGTCACTGTCTTGCCAGTGTGTGCAGATATGAGAGCAAATATTCCAGATCCCTCCTTTAAATTGTAGGCACTGTATTCTCTTAGCTGCATTCAACCCTTTGGGGGTCGGCAGGTCCTCTCAGAGGCTTGTTCTCAGGGTCGCCCAAATTTAAAAAAAAAAAAAAAAAAAAAAAAAAAAAAAAAAAAAAAAAATCTTATGAAAAGATAGTTTTTTTTTTTTCTAAACATTATAGGCTAAAGAAAAATTTTTTACCATCAATACTTACCAAGATATGGAGGCGTGAAGTTGACACAAAATGCGTGGTATATGGTATCATCGCCGACTGCCGTCACCCGATATTGTTTTATTTAGTTTTTTATGAAATATTTTCTATTTATTTTTAATTTTTTTTCAAATAACTTTTATGGCCTGTGAGACCAATATGAGCACTATTTTGTAAGTTATTTCTTTTTCTATACTACACAATAAGTGCATGAACATTTTTGTCACTGTTTTGTTTACAGAAAATATTTACACAAACAAACGATATGAAATGTTGTTTATTACTATTTTTCTATATTTCATATACACATATACAGTCACAGGACATGTTTCTAGAAGTTCTACAGCCTGTGGAAGTCTTTGAAACATGGTGTCATGCACAGTGGTGTTTTGCACTCCTCACACATAAAACGAGTGTCTCTGCGTTGTTGTGTGCGTTTTTTTGTATGTGCACAGATGTAACACCTCTTCTGAGCCTTTTTCTTGAAAGCAGTAGCAGGCAGTTTTACTAGGAAGTGATCACCATGCTTCAGATGAGAAGGTAGTTGTTGATAATTTAGTGGGCAGTCTACTGCAGGTGTTGTTCCTTGGTACTTGAATACTATTTGTCTGATGACAGACAAACAGAATCCACCATATGATGGTTTGTTTCTGGTCTTCATCTTATACATATTACAAGCATTGAGCATGGAAATGTCCAGAAGATGGAAAAAGAGTTTTATGTACCACTTATAACTATTGCGAACACAATCAGCAAAACCCAATCTGCATGTCACATTTGTCCACTGAGTGCATATTGAGGGTGTAATCAATCACAGCTGCAGGTTTTAGAATGGGTTCATTGCTTTCTCTATGCTGCCTGCCAGTGTCTGCCATTTCATTAGGGTGAACTGATGACAACAGTGTCACATCTCGTTTGTCATGCCACCAAAATGCCATGATGTCATTGGCAGTAAACGCCTGCACCTCACCTCTACGAGTGCCAGCGTCAAACCTGGGCATATGCTTACGATTTGCACACACTGTGCCACACACATCTGTCATGTTCACTCGTAAAAAATCACTGAGTGAGGGGTTTGTGTACCAGTTATCAGTATATAATATATGCCCCTTACCAAGGTATGGTTCTATCATTGTTCTAACCACATCACCAGAGATGCCCAATAACTTCCTGGTATTTTGCAATTTATAACTTCCAGTGTATACAATAATATCCAATACCAGACCACTGTAACAATCACAAAGCACAAACAACTTTATACCAAAGCATTTCCTCTTGCTTGGTATGTACTGCTTGAAAGAGAGTCTTCCTTTGAACAGAATCAAAGACTCGTCAATTACAAGCTTCCTGAAGGGGTAAAAATACATATTGAATTTCTCTTTCAGATACACAAACACATTCCTAATCTTATATAACCTGTCATTTCTGTCAGGCCTGGTTTTGTCTGAGAAGTGAAGCATACGTAACAATAACACAAATCGATTCACTCCCATTATATCACTGAAACCTGGGGTTGCAATCAGGCAGTCTGTTGACCAGTATGATTTCACTCTGTGCTTATACACATGTGGCATAAGCATTATTGTGGCAAAGAAAAGACACATCTCAGCCACAGTTGTCTCCTTCCACTGGTGTAGACGTGATTTTGGTGAAAGTATTGTGTTTGCCATGGTGTACTCGTAGTATCTGTTGCTTTCCCTGATAATAATTTCCATCAGGGGTTTGTCAAAGAATAACTCGAAACATTTCAGTTCAGTGGCATTGTTCCCCAGTGCACAACATGGCTGTATTCCACTTTGGCTTTCATCAAACTGGTGGGGATTTGGAACAAAATTGACAGTTTCCTGCCAATCCCAGGTGCATCTGCTGGTGGGTACTGGACATTGACATGTGGTTGTGGTTGTGGTTGTGGAGGTTGTGGTTGTGGAGGCTGGTGTGGTGGGTGGGTGGGTGGGGGATGGTGGCCTTTGTTGTAGACCAGCTGAGGCAGCGGCGTGGGTGGCAGCGGCGTGGGTGGCAGCATGGCCCACTGCTGGTGCCTCATGGCCGGCACCACCACTACCACCATCATGCACATTTTCCATCCCAATTGCAACACTATCATCGTCATTTTCACTGTCTGTTCCTGTTGTACAGCCATGGGATGTACTCCGAGATGTACTCCTTCCCCTTGGAATAGCATATGGCACACTACCAGAGCGCATATATCGTCATATAAACTGATGCTTCACTGGAGAATATTCTACTTCACTATCACTACTGGAACTGGTTTCAAGAGCTTGTAGTTCATATTCACTATCACTATCATCACCAATGCTCACATCTGAGTCCGGGATTTGGGAAAATAGGAGTTTCCTCTTTGATTCTGGTACAACTGAACATGAACAAGACGGCCCAGCAGCAGAGGTGGAAGGCTGAGGGTCGTCTGGGTTTTCCTCACTATACCGATATTAGGGTCATTAGTTTTGGTCACAACCTCACTAAAACCTTGAAACTCATCTTCACTGACACTTCCATCTGTATTAGAACTGTCACTGGGGAACAAAAGTGTCCCAATTCGCCGAGGAGTGAGGAGCTTCTTACTGCGAGGCATGGTGAACAAGGTCTACTAACATGGTCTTCCCACAATGCACCACTGGGTCCCAGATTTTTTTTCTACCGCACACACCGACCACACACACCCATTCTCTCACACCTAGGCCTACCAGCCTTTCCCACAAGATTTGAAGGCGCTATAATTTATGCGTACTAGTACGTCAAAAAACACTGGCGCATAAGCCGTACTAGTACGGCCAAAACCCCCAAAGGGTTAATCTGTTTGCACTGTTTATAAATTCCTTAATTTGTATCCTTTTTAAGGTTATATTAATACCACGTATTAGACCCTAAGAAATAAAAGCGATGTAGATATTATGTCCAGGCTAAGTTTTGCCCAAAGTATTGTGCATCCTATGGACCTTCATATTATTGCATATTTTGCATATGCAGTAGTTTGAAACAAAGAATTGTATTGCATTGTACAATATTTATTTTTTTTATCTTGTCTAATTGATATGTACTTTTAGTCTTCCAGCTTTTTTTTTGTCACTAGCTTTCTATAGCAATTCTTCCTTTTGCTTAACCTATGTCACTGTTATTTATAGGGGCCTGTTTCTTTCTTTTTCATATTTTTTCAATTATTCTATAACATAGTATATAGGGTTTAAAACTTAATTTCTCTAATCACTTTGCTATCTCACTAATGTAATTAATTCCTCTTTGTGAATGTCTGCTCTTAATTTGATTTCTACTAAGGATAACCAAAAACAATAACAATATTTTATGTACAATTTTTCTCTGAACAGCTTAGGATTATTTGCTATTTATTATTATTTGGAAAAGGCATATGATAGGGTGGATATAGAAGGAATGTGGCAAATGCTGCATCTATATGGAATAGGTGGAGGTTACTGAAAGCAATTAAGAGTTGTTATGAGGATAGTGAGGCTGAGGTTAGGATGTGTAGGAGAGGGGGAGATTATTTCCCTGTAAAAGTAGGCCTCAGACAGGGATGCATAATGTCACTATGTTTGTTCAACATATTTATAAATGGGGTTGTAAGAGAAGTGAATGATCGGGTGTTAGGAAGAGGTGTGTGATTAAAAGATAAAGAATCTACCACTAAGTGGGAGATGTCTCGGATGCTTTTTGCTGATAACGCTGTGCTTTTGGGAAATTCTGAAGAGATGTTGCAGGAGTAGGCGGACGAACTTGGGAGGGTATGTAAAAGAAGAAAATTAAAAATGAATATAGGAGAGAGCAAGGTGATGAGGATAACATAAAATTTAGGTAATGAAAGAGAGGATATCACATGGGAGGGAGGGAGTATGGGGAAGTGAATATTTTCAGATATTTGGGAGTGGACTTGTCAGCAGATGGGTCTACGAAAAATGAGGTGAACCACTGAATTGATGATGAGAAAAAAGTGAGTGGCACAATGAGGAGTCATGGAAACAAAGAGGGCTATGTATAAGAGTACAGCCTCTCCTCATTTAATGAGAGTTCTGTTCCTAAGACCACATCGGTAAACGAAATCATCGCTAAGTGAGGAGCATACAATAATGGTAGTGGGTTTATGTTAATCAGCTTTGATATTGTTTTAATGTCACCTTTACACCATATAAACATTTCTGGTATATTTTTAAATGTTTATACAGCAGTGTACTGTATATTGTAATAAAAAAAATTTAGGAAATCAGCTCTAATATACATTATTTAGGTATGGATACTGGTGAGAGAGCCCGTCGTAAGTCCGAGTAGTCGATAAACGAGTATGTCGCTAAGTGAGAGAGGCCATATAGTGATAACAATGCTCTTATATGGGTGTGAAAGCTGGAGGCAGTGGAGGTGTTGTGTCTGAGGCCAATGTGTGGTATGAATATTATGCAGAGAATCCATAACTTGGAGATTTGGACCTGTGGGGTTTCTAAAAGCATTATCCAGAGGGCTGAAGAGGGGTTTTTGAGGTAGTTTGGACATTTAGAGAAGATGGAACAAAATAGAATGATTTGAAGGGCATATAAATCTATAGTGGAAGGAAGGTGGGGTAGGGATCATCCTAGGAAAGGTTGGAGGGAGGGCATAAAGGAGGTTTTGTGTGTGAGGGGCTTGAACTTCCAGCAAGTGTGCGTGAGCATGCTAGACAGGAGAAAGTGGAGGCAAATGGTTTTTATAACTTGAAGTGCTGTTGGAGTGTGAGCAAAGTACAGGTCTGCCATCACAAATCCAGCAATCAGTTATTCGGTTCCTTCAGTTATTCGGCACTAATTTTGGCTAGCATAATTTCAAATTTCCAGGGTCGCCACACCAACCTGCTGGTACTGTTTGGTGGCGCTACTTGCTGCATAAGTCATTCTAATTTCTTTTTCTCCATTTATTGTTATAACCTGCATACTTTTAGTCCTAGCCATGGTTCCAATGAATAAAAGAAATGCTTTTCGTTGTGTAAAGCACCTATACAGTACATTGTCCATTAAAGATAAGGTGGCTTTGAAGCCACTCTCGGTTGCTATGAGCTCAGTCTCGTGATGCAGGAGAATATGCTTTATTATTACGCTAATATCAACACTACAGCTTATTGCCTATCACAACTGATCTAATATTACATAATAAACAATATAAATAACATAAAACATATTAAATACTCCAGAAAGAATAATATTTGGCATAATACCGAGCAGTTCGACAGAAGTATGAAGAGGATACGAGATACAAGTACCATTCTCCTATCCCTGTCTTGGGGCTTATTTTAGAGAAAACGGAGTGTAGCACAGGGCTAACTGTGATATACACTCATACTGCACCATAAACCTGAAACAAAAAAGTTATTTTCTCTATATAGATTACCACACATAGCAGCATATGTGTAGAGAACCTAGGATAACCCAAAAACATCAGACAACGTGGCTTACTTCTAGTACCTGGTTTGGGTTAGCCATATATGATTTTTGGTAAATATTCGATTCCCAGCCAGGGTAGAAACACTGGGTGTTTCTTTACACTTGTTGTCTATGTTCACCCATCAGTAAATGGGTACCAGGGTGTTAGTCGACTGGTGTGGGTGTAATCCTGGGACACTGACCTAATTTGCTTGAAATACTCTGCATAACAAGCGGCTTTCTATATAGCAGTATGTCACTGATGTCAGCTATGTCTGTAGCCCATGTACATGTATGTGTAGTAAAGTTCACATTTACACTCACTCACTCACCCATTTGACTATAAGCAGAGAAATACGTATCCTAATCTTAAAATAATGATTCCTAACTAGTCATAAGTTTGCCTGTGATACTCCAATATAGAAACTATGTATTGTGCCAAAACAAAAGCATTCACATTGCTAAACTCAAAAACTAGTATTTGTCACTTAGTATTTAGTCAACTTACTCCACAATTTGTTATAATTTAGGGTTAAGAATTAATCTAAGTTTGCCCGAAATGCCTAGTCATGCTGGGTGTTCTAGTGGCCCCCTCTGTAATTAGTACTTTACTACATGTAAACCACACAATAACCAAAATCTGTAAACCCTACATTATAATCCTTATAGAGAATAAACTCTGATTTGATTTATTATTATTATTATTTTCTCATTTGTTTGTTGGGTTATCTTATTGAAACTTGGGCAATGTATGATGGAAAGATACTTCTTAACGTACACCAAAAATGAAAGAAATCAGACCATAAATAGCGGAGTTCACTTCTCAGCCATTAGCGGCCTCTTAGCGGTATATTTTTGTGTTTTTTTATGGTTATATTCTCGTTTTTTCGGTCTCATTTGATAGAATGGAAGATACATTACAGAAATAGATATGATTTTGATTGCTTTCATGATGAAAAGTACCTTAAAACTGTGCTCACAGTAGCAGAAAAGTTCTATTCTTTAGCGATGCTCGAGTAAACAAATGACGTCACCGTCCAATACCTGTCCGCCTGCCAGTCCAAATTCCAATACACAGTCAAGAATGGGTTGACATTCTTTATACAATTATAATAATGCAGTAGTCTGCATAACAGTAAATCTATTTTTTTGTGTGAATAAAAATTCTAAATGGTAAGCAAGAGTAATATAAGAGGGGCCTGGAGCCATGACTAATGAACAGAGAAAATGTTACTTTAGTGCCAGGAATGTCTGCACTGTCTATTCTGGACCCTATTTTCAAATTGGCATCTATGAAATTGGCCAAATTGCCAATTTCTGACCACTTTATTGGATAGCTGAAATAGGTGAATGGGCAGTTTCTTGTACTCAGCCGACAGACTAGAAGTAAGCTTATTCAGGTACTATACACAAATACAGTTACATAGATTATCATACATAGCAGCGTATGTATAGAGAACCTAAGATAATCCAAAAAAGTCAGACAAAGTGACTTATTTCCAGTACCTGGCTTGGGGTTGCCATGATTTTTGGTAAATATTGTTTTTTCTCAGTTGTTTGTTGGGCTATCTCATTGAAACTCGGGCAATGTATGATGGAAAGATGCTGCTTAACGTACACCAAAAATAAAAAAGACGGACGATAAATAAGGGAGTTCACTTCTCAGCCATTAGCTGCCTCTTTGTGGTATAGTTTTGTATGGTTTTTATGGTAGCATTCTCGTTTTTTTGGTCTCATTTGATAGAATGGATGATATATTACAGAAATAGACATGATTTTGATTGCTTTCATGACGAAAAGTACCTTGAAATTGAGCTCAAAGTAGCGGAAATGTTCAATTTTTGCTGATGTTCAATGAACTTTGTGTAAGTCAAGTTTGTTAATTTTATTAAGTGTATTCTAACCTAACCACTCTATAATCCGGCACACTACAGGTCCCAATGATGCCGGATTTGTGATGGAGGACCTGTAACAGTTATGAAGGGATTTAGGGAAACCGGTTAGCCGGACTTGAGTCCTGGAGGTGGGAAGTACAGTGTCTGCGCTCTGGAGGAGTGGAGATATATTGCAGTTTTTGAACTGTAGTGTCGGTACGCCTCTGGCAAGACAGTGATGGAATGTTTCTTCTTTCTTGGGTCACCCTGCCTCCATGGCAAACGACCGATGTGTTAATTAAAAAATAATTATTGTGGTGGTACACTTACTCTGATGCTTGGGGAAAGGTCATGCCCACAAAACTTGGTGAGAGTGTCTCCGTGTACATTTCACAGCCAGTGCCACAGAGGTAGTCATTCTGCCATGCCTGCATGTCTGGAGACTGAGGAAACATAACATTGTCCCAATACACTCAGCCATGACACACATGTCTTTAGTAAAAAAATACAAATAACAAATTTAAGTTAATTCACACATATAAATCTTCCTGACATTCTGACAGAGAATTCTAAAACAGACTAATCACACAATTATTAATTTATATTTTTTTCTGGAAAGGTATAATAAGGCATTCAACGAAAAAGTTGGCAGTCAAGGTTTGCAGTTTAGCTAAATTAATCTATGTATAATAATTCTGACTTTCAAAGATAATCAGTTACATTTGAGAAGCTTAAAACTTTGTCTACCAACTATTATGTAACCTGAGTGGGCACACACATGGCTGCTATCAGAAGTTGACAATGCAGAATCATATTCAAATTCTGTATACCAGTCCTTGTGATGCAATGATTTATTAATCTTATTATAACTTGCATCCCCAAACTCCTGAGTCAGCAGAGCCTTTAGGGTATAAAAATATATATTTTTTTAAGTACAATTTATCCAGTCGGTATAACATGGATGGGAAAAGTTAGATTAAACACTAATCATTAGCATAATATAGATCAATGTTAGTACAGTAGTTGGGTATCACTGTCACACTGTCCAGGCTGCAAATAATACCTAGCACAACTACTTACGCAGATGTTTCACTAAATTCAAGGTCCACAAAAGCAGGGCTTAGGGCCTCTGTGTACATCTCCATGCCAGAACCCTGCTGATAATGGTCCTGCCACGGCGACATGTCAGGTGACTACCACACAACATAGTGTCATTAAGCCAGTATTTCTAATTAGTTGAAGAGTAATTTATTATTTAAAAAATTGCTTCATAATTTTCTTCAATAAAATTGGGTATTGCCACCTGAAATTGGATATATTAATAACTTCTGTTGAAGATACTGCAATAATGATTTTCTGTGGGTCAGTAGAGGAAGAAGTGAACAATAATCAACGTACAATATAATCATTAAGGTTCAAATTATATTACGGAAAAGTTTGTTGTACAACATAAAAGGAAAAATATCAGCAATGCTCATCATTTTACGCACGAATGTGCTCCTTTTCCCACACAAGCAAAAATACGAACTTCAGGTCCTCCTTAATCAGTAGTCTGAAGGACCTTCAGAATTGTGAGAAAAATTTCTGAGAGGCACCATCTGAACACCTGACAGAATGCTGTAGTCAAAAAGAGCAACTTCCAGATAATCACAAAGCTTGTTACAGAATATTCAGAAGTCAGAAATAGTCTCTTCCTACAGCTCACCTACAATTTAACCCTCGACTTTATGAACTAAAAGAAGGGGTCGTGACCATGATGAAAAAATGAGATTGCTTTGCTATGATTGTAACGTAACACAAATTTGCTATGATTGTAACATAAATTGATAACCAATGGACTTAGCTTGCTGTTTCTGAATGAATTAACCAGTGGATTTTGACCTGTATTACCAAAGTTTATTAAGTCATACAATATATTAGAAAATGGTGTTAGAAAGAAGAATAGAGCTCAACATGTCCAGTTGGATAGGTACCTTAAACATATGAGTTCCATAATTATTTTGTTACATTGGAATTAACCATGGACAATATTTCAATTTCCAGTGAACAAATCAGAAATTGAATATTTTATTTATCTCAATGGCTGTCTCCTGTCAAGGCAGGGTGATCCAAAGAAAAAAACATATTCACTATCACTCATTCAACTGCTGTGTTTCCAGCAGTGTCCTGACATCACAATTCAGATTACCCTATGATTGCAACATTCCCACCCTTGCTTCAGAATACAGGTACAATCCTTCCCACTTCCATAAGTAAAGTCTGGCTAACCAATTTTTCTGAATCTCTTTGTAAATGTTACCTTTCTCACACTCCAAGATCATATCCATTAAAAACACTTGTTTCCATTAACTCTTAGTTAACATAAGCCCCTACAACTCAACACCTCCCTTATTCCTTCCCTCTGACCATTCCTGGGACAACCCCCTATCCCTCCTATCTTTCACCCCAGATTTATACATCCTCTTCATCATTCCATCCCTCTACATTTTTTCTATAAGCCCAAACCACCTCAACAACCCCTCCTAGGAACTGTGTGCCTAGACACTGTAGTCAAATAATTTTCCCCACCTATGTTTTTCATTACCCTTTACTGTTTTCTTTTTGTTTCTCCATAAGAGCAGTGATGCTACAATACACTGTACTGGGCTTTGTTACATGCAACAGTCACTGCATCCACAATCTGAGTTATTGCAATGATTGTCACCTAATGTCAAAAATTGTACTTGAGAACTTATTTGCCTGAACTTTGACCCAACTAATTTTTCATGTTATACACAAATAACCCGCACATAAAAGAAAGAAACTCATGATGATGTTTCAGTCCAACTTGTGTGTCACTAGTTAATAGTCCAAGCTGGACCAAAACATCATCATAAGTTTCTCCTATGTGTGGGTTATTTGTGAAATGCTCCAGTCATGGTACTTTGCCTTTTGTTCATTTCATATTACCATATACCATACTATGCTTTTATCTGCCTGCATATACATTTGTTTTATATTCACAGAATTTTATTCTGTGTATATCTTTAAAGTCTTTGTATACATATATGTTAAATGTTTATTGTCCTTTTAGCTTTAAGTTAGAGTCAAGCTTGCAAAAAAGGCTCTGCATAACCAGGTGCTTTCTATGTGCCACATTAAATGTCATCCATTTTTTTTTTTAGTACAAACTGTGCATCATGTGAATGAAAGAAATTTGAACTGAATTTGAATTTAGTAAAATTATTAAGTTGTTTGATGCTACATTACAATAACTGTCCTTGTATTTCAATGATGCATATGTGCACAAGTTTTACCTAATATTTCTTAGAAAATATATTACGCAAAATATTTATAGTTTTCAAGCAATAAGCTTAACTTATCTGAGCAAATAGTTATTTGCGACCAGCACACATTGAATATGCACAATTAGTATGATAACAACAAATTATTTTTGGAAAACTGTATAGACATGTTTTCAAAACATCAAGACAATAAGTACTCAGCATACAGGTGAAGTTTCTTTTAATAATTAAGCTAAAACACCTTAATATTTACTTACAGTTTTGTAAGATCTCATAGCAAAAAGATTAGCCATCATTGTGGAGAATCCTGGAGCTAAACAGGACTGTGCTATGAAGCCTAGTTTGAGCTCTGCTAAACAAATTACATCATCACCACGTTTCCAGTCCCACGAAGGAATGTTTAAAAGGTAAGCCTGAAAATATAAAAGAAGAAAGATTAAGTCTAATGGAAAATGTTCATATTCAGAGGACTGGAAATAAATCTATTCACCAAATTTCAAATCAAAATGAGTCATTATAAAAATTTTAATAAAAGGCTGGAACAATATGGCATATTCTAGGTCAAGGGTGGGGAATCTTTTTATGTCAGAAGGCCACATTAAAGTTAGCTGTAATCTAATAAGGCTGCATTCAAGAAATTTTGATTAGATATACTGTACTACAAATGTTAGTTATTTTATAAAAAGTTAATTATTATATAATAACTTCAAGAAAAATAATTCATTCAGAAGGTTGCACTTAATGCCCTAGAAGGCTGCATGTGACCTTAAGGCCGCAGGTTCCCCATCTCTGTTCTAGGTGGACTCTGCACCACAGCAATGTATATATAGCATTTATCATCAAAGGTGGGAGTATATCAATATGTAATACAAAATACCAAAAACAATCACTAATAAATCACCTAGCTAAAATATAATAGCATTAATAGTAAAAAACATAAGATCAATGACTACAAAAAAAAAAAAAAAAAGCTTACAATTCACAACTAATAAAGTGGTACCTCAAGTTTCAAACAGCTCCCATCTCGAACAATTATGTAAGTGTATTTTTGTAAGTGCTTTTTTTAACCCTTTCAGGGTCCAGAGGCCAAATTTCAAAGGGTGCACCAGTGTCCAAGAATTTTCAAAAAAAAAAAAAAAAAAAAAATTTGTTATTTTTTCTTATGAAATGGTAGAGAATCTTTTTCTGAAGGTAATAAAACAAAAAGTACGAAATTTGATGGAAAATTGACGAAATTATGCTCTCACAAATTTTGATGTGTCAGCGATATTTACGAATCAGCGATTTTGCCGACTTTGACTCCCATTTTAGGTCAATTACATTATTCCAGTCGATCAAATTCTTAGCTATTTCACTAGTATTACTTCTATTCTATCGATTGAGCACAAGAAATCGCCCAGTCAACTGTTTCAAATACAAAATAAAGTGATCGGAAATTGGCAATTTGGCCAATTTAACACAAAGTTCAAAATATTCCAATTTCAAAATAGGGTCCAGAATAAACAATGCAGGCATTCCTGGCACTAAACTAACATTTTCTCTGCTCATTAGTTATGTTTTCAGGCTTTACAAATGAATTCCATTTTGATTTTTGATTCACATAATGAATTTTTTTTTCAAACCAAAAAATAGAAGATTTACTGTTATGCAATATTGTAATAATTGTATAAATATCATCACATTTGTGAATATATATTAGACCCACCAGCTGGCGTGTATTAGACGAGTGAGGTCATTTGTTTACTATTGAACATCAACAAAAATTTAACATTTCCGCTACTTTGAGCTCAGTTTCAAGCCATTTCCAGTACTAAAACCAATCAAAATCATCTCCATTTCTGTAATATGTCTTCCATTCTATCAAATAAGACCAAGAAATTGCAAATACAACTATATAAAACATACGAAAAAACACTGCAAAGTCGCTGTTTTAATCGAAAATCACGGTCTCAGTTTTTTTTCTCTCGTTATACACTGTGTGCTGCAGGATTTGTTTTATGTGGTGCACACATACCACATAGATGTATTCTCTCATATCTAGGTCCAAATTTACCACTCACAGCTTATCAGAGTGAGTTGAGCTCATGTCATAGATCTACGGTTTGGACCCTGAACGTAAAGCCGTAGATCTACGGGACGGACCCTGAAAGGGTTAAGTGTATTTTTGGGGGTCTGAAATGGGCTAATCTAATTTACATTATTCCTTATGGGAATAATGTAAATTCCTTAATTTTTATTGAACAGCCTTCTGGAACGAATTAAGTTCGTAACTCGAGGTAACACTGTATTTACTGTTTAACCTACATTATAAATGTGCATTTACAAAAATCGCTTTAGCATTAGATCACTGCCTACAAATAAGTAATCAAAATCCTTCAAATACTAAAATTAATCACCAGTGTTTCAACAAGTTATCTCCTTAGTTGCTAGAAGGTGAGCAAGCACTCTATTCCTCACCTCCAGACTTTAAATTCAACTAACCAATTTACCTGATTTTGCCAACAGGCATTACGGTACTCTCGCTCCAACAGCATGTCAAATCCCAAAATTCAGTGGACTCAATCTGATACACTTGCACATGCTTCCTTGATATTCAAACCTCCACCTCTCTGCATGGAGTAGTCTGCCAGAAATGCCTAGTGACTTTCTTTGTATTTAATATTTTGCAATATGTAAACCACATACGTATTGTAAACTTTGCAAAGAAATAAAATTTTCATTTCGATTTTGAAACTCTCATTTGCACTCTCCTTCCAACTTATCCTGGAATATCCTCTATACTATCTTCCATCTACCTGAGATTTACATACCCTCTTTCTACTAACTTTCTTAATGATGAAACCATCTTAACAAGTTCTCCATGAACAGTACCACCATGTTGTCTTCTAATTTCTTCACTCTTTATTCTCTGTATATTATTTACACTATACATTCCCACTGCCTCCAGCTGCATCCTCACTGCAAAATTCATAGCCAATGCCTCGCACCAACATAAAGGCACAATGGCACCACTATGATCTAATACATTTCCCATTTTGTAGCCAATGACAGATTAATTAATTTCCACAGACTCCTTAACACTATAGCTACTTTCTTTTCCTTATCAATGTTCTGATGATTCACATTATCTCTCAAAGATCCATCTGCTAAACATATCAGTAATTTATTCCAAGCCAGAAACTTTTAAGGCAGCAAATTTTGATGAAAGGGTAATTCTTACTGCCATTTATGAAGAAAAAATGGTTGCTAAGTTCTTAAGCATGTTATGAAGACTCCACAAACCCCAGGGAGCACCTTTGCTGGAGTGAGCTCCAGCAAAGGGGCTCCCTATGATTGTATTTGCTTGGACCTCCTCCCTGTTTTTTGCAAATTTCAAGCTCCTGATGATGTATTGATTGTAACATGAAAGGCCTAGAGCTATCATTCAACTCCCCCTGTGGTTGTTTTGCATTTTGTATTGCTTGTTCATGATTTCTGCATAATTAGAATATAAATAATTAAAATTACAAACCTTATTGTGATACTGCATGAGCTGGATAATGACTCGAATATCATCCGAGTAATTCTTGATGGAGATAACACGCATAATGTTTGCAGCATCCTCTGCATCAGGGTCTTGACAATATTTATTAGCCAGTACAAGGCAGGCATCAGCTTCATGTACCTGCCACAATCATCACACTCCATCAACCAAAGATCTTGGCCAACCACTTGCCACAGACCAGTAAGCAACATTAATGCCAAGAAGAAGGATGTAGGACCTAGATCTACTTTTACAACTATGGTTATTAAATTTCTAAAAAGAAAAAAATGAATCTGACCTATTAAAACCCAAAAAACAGACCAGGGGGTGTAGGAGACCTTACCCATCCTCAAAAAAATTTGCAAAACTTTAACATTTTCTAATTCCATGCTACTTCGTTCTGAAACCAGCCAAAACCATCTTTCAGTTTCATGTTATCCATTCCATTAAATGGTACCAAGAAACAGTCAATAAAACCATACTAGAAAATACCCCTAACATACAGTCAGAGCTTTGCTTTTCCCATCATGCATCGCGTGAGGCAGGCCTTTGTTTTATACTATGCACACTTACTGCGCAAACCTGTTCTCTCTTATCTAGGCCAAAATTTACTGCTCACAGCTTATCTGAGTAAGCTGAGCTCATGATGTAGAACTACATGAGTGATCCTGGCCTCAATGATGTAGTTCTACATGATCCTCACTGAAAGGCTAAAACTCCATTAGCATCTACATTAAACTTTATGAGCACAGTCTGTAAGTTTGTCCTCACTTCCATGGTTATCAGACATTATTATTTCTTAACACCATATTCCTCACATACCCATGCAACTGAGACACCAGACAGCTTTCTTTATTAGGTTAACTTTCTGCTTAACGCTGGAAACTACACATTTCCTCTTGGCACCACCACTTGCTTTAGAAGCCATTGTTGATTGCACTTTATTTAATATGTTAATAAAGTCACACAAAACATTCTAAATCCAGGGAAAATCAGAGACTGAATGACGAGTGTATGAGTGAACAAAAAACTATAAACTGGCATGGGTGGCCTACAGCTTGGAGAACAATGAAGAGACACGTTTTGGACATGGCCACTCTGGCCCGTACTGGAAAACAAAATGTAGGAGTCGTTAGGCTTGGTCTGATACCTCCAAAGAGAGCCTGACACTATCACTACTGACAAAAATGACTTTTGTCCATTTTGTCTGATACTTCCAGTAGTATTTGTCTGGCCATTTCTCATTGGAAATTGCAAAAATCTCTTAATGAGAGGTTTTACTGTACTGTATTTAGTTATTGATCAAATCAAATCAATGTGACATGTATATCAAGACAAATGTAAGTTGTAGAAAAAAGTAAAAGTTTAATATATGGCAAATTTAAATTAAAAAGTTTGAATTTAGTATTCTATACACTTCTCCATTAATTAACATGGTCAAATAATGCACAATGTCACACATGCACAGTGTTTTTGTTAACACAAATGTCACTAAACATACCATGGTATGGGTGGGGTTAGAACCCATGGCAAGCAAGTCGTAAAACTCCAAGCCACTGTGTAGGAAACCCAGAGTATCGTGAAATTAGTGTTAACCGTTTCACTGTTGAAGTCCCTGATCACAAACTTGCTCTCAGTGTTGGGAAAAAAAAAAAAAAAAAAAAAAAAAAAAAAAAAAAAAAAACAATATCTTAAGAATATATTTCTGATTGTTTTAAAAGATTATTATTATTATAATAAAAAAGAAGCGCTAAGCCACAAGGACTATACAGCGCTGCAGGGTAGGGAAGGAAGCGAGGGTATTGGATGGCAGAAGGGAGGAGGGATGATCAGCAGGTTACAGAAAACAGCGGGGCAGGGGATAGTACGGGGGTAGAGGGTAGCACGAGATTGAAGTAGAAAGGGCTGAAGGTATCAGAATTTGTGAAGTAAGTCAGTTGTTGTCAAAAAGTCAATGAGAGAGTCCGGATGAAAGGTGGGTCCATCAGCGAGAAGGGAAGGTAAAGAGAGAGCAGCGGAGCTAAGACGACGACAGAGGTAAATTCTGCGTGCTCGCTGATAAAGTGGGCAGTCCAAAAGAATGTGGCTGACTGATAATGGAGCTTGGCAATTCTCACAGAGAGGAGCAAGACGCCTCTCCATGAGATATCCATGAGTAAGACGAGTATGGCCAATGCGAAGACGGGAGAGAGTAGTCTCCCAACCTCGACACTGGTGATAAGAAGACGGCCAGTAACCTATACTCGGTTTAATAGATTGAAGTTTGTTGCCGAGCATAGTAGACCAACGTTGTTGCCAACGGGTGTGAAGGTGGGAAGATATTGCAGCAAAATAGTCCGTAAATGGAATACCTCTATAAGAAACTAGTAGGTCATGTACTGCTGACCGCGCAGCAGTGTCTGCCTGTTCATTGCCCTGTACGTCAACATGACCAGGGACCCAACAAAAAACAATATCTTTATGCTTGGTAAAGATGCAGCGTAGCCAAAGTTGGATACGGAGGACTAAGGGGTGAGGTGTATCAAATTTTTGTATAGCCTGTAAAGCACTAAGGGAGTCTGAGACAACCACAAATGATGACACAGGCATAGATGCAATACGGATAAGTGCTGTAAGGATGGCATATAATTCAGCAGTAAAAATACTAGCCGAAGATAGTAAATGCCCTTGTACGATGCTGTCCGGAAACACTGCTGCGAATCCTACGCCGTCAGAAGACTTAGAGCCATCTGTGTACACAGCAATGGCATGAGAATGAGAGTGAAAGTGGTCAAGAAAAAGAGAGCGGGAAGCGACCGTAGACAGTTGGGCTTTCGAGCAAGAGAGGGAGAAAGAACAGACTCGAGCAGCTGGAACTTCCCAGGGGGGTAGGGAAAAGTGAGATGCTACATGTACATAGAAAGGTGGTAGTTGAAGAGAAGACAAGAGCGAATGAAGGCGAAGAGAGAAGGGACGGAGTAAACAGGGGCGGTGAACAAATAAAGAATGTCTACTAATATCCGTGACCATTCTATAAATGGAAGGATTGCGGAGATCATGAGAGCGTACATAGTAGCGCAGGCAATGGGCATCACGGCGATCGGATAAGGATGGAACGTTCGCTTCTGCATAGAGGCTCTCGACAGGGGAAGAGCGAAAAGCACCAAGGCATAAACGTAATCCTTGGTGATGAATGGGGTTAAGGCTAGAGAGAGTAGCAGGAGATGCCGCTGAATAGATCTGGTCACCATAATCGTTTCGATAAAATAAGGGTGGAATGTAGGCGAAGGAGGGTTCGATGATCAGCTCCCCATGAAAGATGAGCAAGGGTTTTAAGAAGGTTCAGCCGGCTGTGACAAGTTGCCTTCAGAGAGGTAATGTGAGGTTTCCAGGATAACCTACGATCAAAGAGGAGGCCCAGAAACTTGACTGTATCACGTTCAGGGATACGGGAGCCATAGAGGTACAAAGGATGATCAGAGATGACAGAGCGTCTAGTGAAAGTAATTTGGTGGGTTTTAGTGCTGGAAAATTTAAACCCACGTGTGGTGGCCCAATTGGAAACACGGTCGACTGCATGTTGGAGAGAAACTGTAATGAGGTGACAGTCAGCGCCTGCACAGGCAATAGCGAAGTCATCAACATAGAGTGATGACCAAATATTTGATGGAATACTAGAGGCCAAATCATTAATAGCAAGGAGAAAAAGTGTTGTGCTCAGAACACATCCCTGGGGGACACCTTCAGCTTGGATAAAGTCCGGGGAAAGCACATTATTAACCCCAACACGGAAATGCCTGTCAGTTAAAAAGTTCTTAAGGAAGGATGGTAGATTGCCTCGAAGGCCTAAGGAGTGGGCTTGGGCTAAAATATTATACCTCCAAGTTGTGTCATATGCCTTCTCAAGGTCAAAAAATATGGCAATAACTGAGTGGTTATTCGCAAAGGCATTACGAACATACATATCCAAGCGTAGTAAGGGGTCTATGGTAGAACGTCCCTTACGAAAGCCATATTGACGAGTGGAGAGACTGTTGTGTGTCTCTAAATACCACACTAAACGTCTATTTACTAGGCGTTCCATTACTTTGCAAACTGCACTGTTAAGAGCAATGGGACGATAGTGGGAGGTTTCATGTCCCGTAGTGCCTGGTTTGCGGAAAGGGAGAACAATGGCGGATTTCCACAGCTGTGGAAGAACTCCTTGTGACCAAATAAGATTGTAAAGGCGTAATAGGACTGCAAGGGCTGACTGATGTAAATGTTGTAGCATACGAATATGAATGTCGTCCGACCCAGCTGCCGATGATCGACAAGCTGAGAGTGTTGCCTCCAGTTCTTGAAGTGTAAAAGGCACATTATACTGTTCTTCTCTGAGAGAAGAAAGTCCAAGGGTGCTAAAATCTCTGGCAGACTTTGAGGAAAGAAATGAGGGGCATAGATGGAGTCCCTGAGAAATACGGACCAGATGATTGCCAATTTCATTGGCAACATCTAGTGGGTTTGCTATATCAACACCGGCAACCCGCAGAACAGGAGCCGGGTCAGGAGAACATTTACCACTCACTTTTCGTACTTTTTTCCAGACTGCACTCATAGAGGAAGCAGAGGTGATGGTGGAGACATAATCTCGCCAGCAAGTGCGTTTAGCATCACGGATGACACGGCGAGTGATCGCACGCTTCTGTTTAAAATCAAGGAGTCTCTCTGTGGTTCTATTGTACCGGTACCTGCCCCATGCAGCGCGTTTCAAACGTACTGCACGAGCACAAGCAGGAGACCACCAAGGCAAGCATTTCTGAGAATGCCTGCCCGAAGTTTGGGGTATAGAATGAGAAGCTGCGGTGAAAACGGAGGACAAGAAGAGGTGTAAAAGCTCATCGATGGAGGACGAAGAAGGAACCTCTTTAAAAACAGTTAGGTGTGAGTAAAGGTTCCAATTTGCCCGATTAAATTGCCAGCGTGGGGTGCGAAGAGGTGGCGAATATGAAGGGGAAGTAAGAATGATTGGGAAATGATCACTGTCATGTAAGTCCGGGAGAACAGACCAAGTGAAGTCTAATGCGGCGGAGGAAGAGCAGACTGAGAGATCGATGCAAGAGAGAGTATGAGTCCGAGGATCAAAATGGGTGCGAGTACCTGTATTTAAAACATGGAGGGGG